TTGAGACTCCGTTCGCCTTATTGTATGCCTGTTCGCTCTAATGACAATGCTTCTTCGCTTCAATGAATATTCCTTTGCGGTTAATGAACAGCAAAAGGTGAATATGGTTACACAGGTTTAAAATAAAACTCACTTTAATAACAACTGATTTGTCTTGAGTCGTATGTCAGCGAAAACCTACCTGGCTCCCGAGTTTTCAATTGAATTGCATAAACGCTACTCAACCCTAAAAAAGTGTTATGATGAAATGAAAATGATTAACAAAATAGACTTCCATTCTTCCATTTACCCATTTTAATTATTTAAATATCACCACACCATTGCAGCATTGAAGCACATAACTAAGCGTGTAGTTGGTATGCATTGGCTGGCTCCTCTAAAACTTGTACCTCTAGGTCATACCCCCTAGTATTTTCATCCCTTAGTACAGCTATTAAAACTCATTGACAAATGAGTTGGGGTTAGGTACCAGGGCGAGCTCGGGTTGCGACAGATCACGTCCCCGCTGGAAGGTAACCATGGCAACCGGACTACAGCTCACCACCGAAGATCGAACAAGGGTGCTTGGTAGAGGACACTGTGAACGGCTACCATGGTACCTCCTCATCCAAGACATTCTACGCACCAAACCCGAGTGAAGACCGGAAGCTCGAAAAACGGTGATTTATTCAAGTTAACTTAGACAAGCAGAAGCAGAAGCAAGTGCTTCTATTGGGGTTCTAATGTAACTCTGGTACGCGTCACTAGACCAACGACCCAAGGTCTGAATGAGGTGTTCTGGTACACCATTGCGGGCCGCAACCGTGGCTGCCCCAATCCTGAAACTATGACTCGAGTAATTTCTCAGCCTTACTAAGTACTAGTTGTGTGATTATATTAGGTGTTGATCACAATGATGAAGATGTGGTCGACTCGAAGATATTCAGAGCTCAACGTGTACTCGTCCAAGGTAGATATCATCTTTGCATGTTACACAAAGTGTGAGGACAACATACATTGTGCAAGCATCAACATGAACCTGACGAACAAGACATGTGAACTGAAGCACTCTACCAAGACCAGACACCCATAGAAGATTATTAGCCAACAAAACACCATCTACATGAAGATACGGACCCAATACTATCCTGTAAATGGTTCAAAGTCAGGTGTTTATTGGATGAAGTTCAATGAGCCATTCTCCGCGCCATTCCAAGCGGCTCTGTGACATGACCGCCGATGGATGAGGCTGGACCCTTATCTAGTACAGCTTTTTTTTTCTTCAATCGTATGGGAAAACGCTCGACTTCCAGTTCCAAAACTAAATAAAGTTATAAAATGTATTTTCTTACTTTTTCTTCATGGCTGGATTTGTTTTCCAAGAGTTCTGATTGTTGCAGGAGGAGGTTCAATCATTGAGAGTATTTTTCGCTTTATAGCGGTTTTAGTGAGTTATTGTACCCAGTTATTGTAACCGATCTATAAAGTCCTTTTCCCCAAGTAAACTGAATTCTTTCTCATGTAAATCACAATACACCAGATTCAAATGTTCCTGCCTCCTGTCATGGCTGCCATYACGTGATGGTGCAAAGTCTCTATATTGAGTGTAGTGGTGATGTGTGTATTTATGATTATTTTAGGTGTTGATTACAATGATAAAGATGTGGCCGGGCAGTATTCATACTAAGGTTTTTTTACTTAAGATGAAAGCAGCTCCTAAAGAAGTAAAACTGAAAAATACTATTCGTTGTGGATATAAATTTACTAAGAAGTTAATGAGGTGTACAATTCCACGTTGCTTTACAATCATTAATGCACATGACTGAATGAGGATTTTTAAATCTTTGCCAATATTTTAAAAACTCCCGAATTCCAATAACTTTAATAAAATTTCAATAACTTTCACTTATTTCCAAAATACGTAATCGGTTTATTTTTAGAATGAATTCAATTTATGTCAATATTATGAGAAATACTATAAAAGGGAATTATATTATGCTCTAGGCTCTCTATGACACCTTTAACATTTCTAAAGCGGCTATAGGTAAACTAACCTGTGGAGGAAACCGTTTGGTTTTGTCTAGAACCTTTTTAAATTAAAATTCCAAAACTAGAGAATAAAATGCTATTCAGCTGCCTCAAAAGCCAACCACATCTCCAACTGTGTTTTATAGAATTACTTAATGCAAAATAAACAAATTTTCAAAGGTTGTAATAGATACCGCCGTTGAAATCCTTCATCAGAGTTCAGAGACTCAGTGAAGACTACTATTAAGAGCGTTAGTTTTGTACCAGTATAAAAGGCCAGAATGAATTAGATTATAGAAAGCGGCTCCGTACTAAGATATTTTTAAAGGTAAGTCAATTGATAGTTGTTTTTTTTCTTCTCATCACTAGTCCTTCACTTTATTTTAAGGAATTTGTACACCAAACCTCGTCATGATTGTAATTGTGTGTATATTGTGATCTTGTAAGTTGACTGAAGATATTCTAAATAAGTAAATGAAACCGGTCTCCACTAATTGAGTCGTTTTTAGTGCGTCAGTGAAATTAAAGATGTTTTTAAAACGAAATTTAGCCTCATAATCACAATCTTGACAAAGTTAACTAAACCTTTCGAGGTCTCAGCAAAGAAAATATCTCAAACACCAGAAACTCAGGTGCAAGAGGGCGGTTGAAATATGTAACCTGCAGGTAACAGTTATTGATACAATTCCTTTCTGCGATGCTGCGGAATATCAATCTTTTTTCCGGTCAAATTTCTTCAGTAGTCGAGTAAATCACGTCTTCTTKYTTCAAACATGAATCACCAAAACCAAATTAAAGATAGATATCCAAAATGTTTRATGAAAATATTCAGTAAATTWTCTGAAGTCAGGAAATTCAGCGACAAGTCATGTTGGTATGTGTTAGAAGAGCCATTTTTAATCAAGAAAAAAATTTCAAAAATTATTAATTAGCTTAAGTTTAGACTTTCCTTTATTCAGGTTTGAACCTTGATTTAGTAGAAATCAGATTTTCTTTCCTCAGAGAAGGCTATATTTTCTCTTCTCCTTAGTTCATTCCGCTAATTCCCGTTAAAAAATGCATGAATAATTAATGACCTTAGAACAATACAAAATCACTACCGTGGATGCATCTGTAAACCCGGATACAGAATTCGTCCTGATTTGCATAAGGTTGACTTAGAAATATCTCGGCCAAATTACATTTAATGTTAAAATTTTTACTCTAAAAAAGAAGCATTAATCCGTAGACATTTTAAAAGTAATATACAATATTCGCGTGCTTGCAAATTGCTGTTTTAAATCCTCATGGCAGATCTCCCGCTCGTATTGTATATATTACTTATAATTTAAAAGTTAAATTTTATGGAGTGAGAAAAACCGGAGAACCTGGAGAAAAACCTTCGAAGAACAGTAGAGAATTCAACAAGAAACTCTAATCACACTCGACACACTGAGTCCGGACTGAAATCAAACCTTGGTCGCTTAGGCGAGCGCTACAACACCACCCATGCTTCCCTGAAGTTAAATGTGATGCTTGAATAATTTCGTGTTTTACAAAACTGAGTTTGATATTTTTATTACCACAGACTGGACACGATTCAATATGAAGAACCAGCTTGTGTTTGTATTTATACTGTTCCTCCTCAAGCACAAAGTCACTTACGCTACGATGTGGCCGACTCAAGGACATTCAGAGCTTAACGTGTACATGCGAGGATTCACTCTTGAATCGTCCAAGGTAGAAACAATCTTTGAATGTTACAGAAAGTGTGAGGAAAACATACAGTGTGCAAGCATCAACATGAACCTGACGAACAAGACATGTGAACTGAAGTACTCTACCAAGACCAGACACCCAGAGAAGATTGTTAGCCAACAAAACACCATCTACATGGAGATACGGGATGCTCTCGGGTTTTCTCCTCATAACCCAATATTATCCTGTAAATGGTTCAAGAACATTGAAAACCAGTTAAAGTCAGGTGTTTACTGGATGAAGTTCAATGAGACATACTCTGCGCCATTCCAAGTTTTCTGTGACATGACCACCGATGGAGGAGGCTGGACCCTTGTCTACAGCTATACATTTACTCAGTACAGTGCGTTTAATTCAACTGCAAACGCAGTCACTCCAATACCAAACTGGCCTGTGGACACGTCTACTGGGACATCGGTGCCACAGTCAACGACAACTCCACTCGGCGAGTCTTCTTACTCGGCCATGGATTTTTCTCTGTGGAAAAAGATTGGTAACGAGATCCTTCTGAAGCCTAATATCACTAACTGGACAGCCTGTGTAGAAGGAACGGGAAGTCTTGTGAACTGGATGGAAGGAAGTGTGACCTGTAGAGTTGTCAAGGCCATTACACCAACCTGTGCCACTGTGGTCCCAACCTGTGCCACTGTGGTCCCAACCTTGTTTAAATTCCATATTTGTGGACCATTTTTTGATCTCGATTCAAACTTTTATGTTTTTTTAGAAGGAAAAACCGACAGTTGCTTTCCTGCCCATGATCCTTGTGCTACGGCACCTTGGCTTAATCACCTGACTAATGTAACCAATCCTGGTGGAGCGATTTACATTCGCTGAGAGAGGAGAACATCATATTGATACCTTGCGCATGGGGTGCGTTCAAGCGCAGGATGTATGCAGGTTTACGTATCACTCGGGACTGGTTGAGACAATAGTAAAATATTAACATACGATGAATGAAATATTAATATTCGAATGACTTGAAATGCACCTGGAAGCCTCATACTGATTAGTCTATTCACAAAAAATATGGAAGAAAATTTAGCTTAGTATTACTATCAACTGTCACGATCCATTAGTACTTTGCCGTGACCATGACGGTACCGTGATCGAGCATTTTCATTGGCTGAACAATGATTTTGCGCGCTGTGATTGGTTGAAATGATGTAATGAAATCAGTACTATGACACTTCACAGTCCTACGAAATCCAGTTTAAATCACACCACTGCAATTTTAAGGACTGGACGAAAACACGAATTTATTCCTAGTCACGATACTCGAAACACATTTACGATAATTTAGCGCCATTGAGCTAAAAG